AACTCCGCGATGAGTGTGAGGTGCTGCTGTCCAGAGACACCCAGAAGCAGAGAGATATAGTCTCACTGCAGCAAAGTGTCTCTGAGCAGACTGAGCTCATCAGAAGTCTCCAGGCTGAGAAGACCGACATGAGCAACACCATCTGCATCATGAGGGAAGCTGGCTTACAGAAGGAGAAGACGATGGAGGAGTTACAACAGCAGCTCCTCCTACAGAGCTCTCCAAACACTCGGGATGAAAGAAATCTGAGATCATCCACCTGGAAGAGACGGTGGAGGATCTGAACCAGTAGTTGGACCGCATGCAGCCTGACCAATGAACAATGTCAGGATACGAGCTGCAAATCCCAAAAAACACTGGCTAGAATAAAATCAAGAGGAGACGAAGAAGAAGACGAACAAAGAACGAGGACAAAGGAACAGTTCGTCTTGAGAGGCATCCAGACACTGAAACATCATCTCTGGATAAAAGAACGTCTGGGTTGCAACAGGAAACACAAAGAACAGACAAATTGCCATTAAAAAATTGGCAGTAAAAATACAGTCACAAACAACTGTATTTGTAATAAACAAGAAAAATATAAGCCATCAAAAATAAATTGGCAAAACTAAATGTATATGTTGATTGAAAATGTCATTATTATTGTGATCACTTGTTAACATGTTTAAGGAGAGAAAACAATGAGATAAGTGTTGATAATAGTTGAGAACAACAGCTTCATGACAACTGTGATACTTGGAGTAAAGCCCATTTTCATTTTAAGGAAAGTGAGTTACTGCGAGGCAACACAGATTTGATTCAGTAGATGAAGACTGAAAATCTTCATCTGAAACATCAGAAAATACTCTAAAGTGTCTGAATTTCTCTCAGAGAACCTGCTAATACAGCATTATAAACACATGAGGTGCTAAAGAGTTCATTTAAATCTGTTAAATTCAAGTTTATTCATGTAAATATATGTGTAGCATTAGAGACAGTTAACAGAGAAAGTGTTGGTTATGTAGGTTAACATAAGAATACACACAATCTCATATGACTACAGACCAGTGGCTCTGACATCTGTGGTCATGAAGTCGTTGGAGAGACTGGAGTTGAGCCACCTGAGGTTCATAGCAGGCCCTCTACTGGACCCCCTGCAGTTTGCCTATCGGGCAAACAGGTCAGCGGATGATGCAGTCAATCTGGGGCTGCACTACATCCTGCAACATCTAGATGGCCCTGGGAGTTCCGCAAGGATCCTGTTTATGGACTTCAGCTTGGCTTTCAACACCATAATCCCTGGAATTCTCTCCACCAAACTCTCCCTCCTCAATGTGTCTCCATCCATCTGTCAGTGGATCACCAGCTTCCTGACAGACAGGAGTCAGCAGGTGAGGATGGGAGACATCACCTCTTCAACCCGGACTGTCGGCACCGGCGCCCCCCAGGGGTGTGTCCTGTCTCCACTTCTCTTCTCCCTGTCCACCAACGACTGCACCTCCAAGCATCCATCTGTCAAACTCTTGAAGTTTGCAGACCACATTACAGTCATCAGCCTGATCCAGGACGGTGACGNTGTGTTAATAATTTCACACATAAGTCGCTCCAGAGTATAAGTCACAACCCCCGGCCAAACTATGAAAAAAAACGCGACTTATAGTCCGGAAAATACGGTATGTTAGGAGAATTGCTTAACATCTTCATGAATTATAGCACGTATATTTGTTTGTTTGTACATCTGCTCTTTCTTGGCATTTGGGGACGCACAGGAGAATTTCTCCACAGCTTGAATGGGAAAATCCTAATAGGAGGCATTGTTCTCTCTGCCCCCCCTTTTTTTTCTTCTTTGTCTTTGTCTTCAGAACCTGCTGTCAGAGAAGGTTGACCAGATGATGGAGTGGTCCTCTCGGCGTTCGGTCGTCCGGATGAACGGGGACAAGTTCCGTCGCTTCGTCAAGGCCCCACCCAGGAACTACTCTGTCATCGTCATGTTCACTGCCCTGCAGCCTCAAAGGCAGTGTTCTGTCTGCAGGTCTGTACACGCACACAATCTGACTTAGTGTACTCTATACTGTAACAACAATTTCTTTTTCCCCTCTCTCTGTTGCCTGAGATATCATGTCCTTGTGCATTTTACTTGTTTATTAGCTTTAAAACACAGGCAGAAATGTCCTTGAATTCATCTGATATTTCACATACAGTCCTTTCACTCACTCTCTCTCACACACACACACACACACACACACTTGCACATCATGAGAACCTCACATAACAGCCTTATATAACAAGAACCTATGGTTTTACATTGACATTTGTATCAAAAGAACTCCCGCCTCAGCCATGCTACCAAAGAGGGATGAATGAGTTCCACATAAAAGGTTAACAAGGCCCACTCACCCACTTAAATAGTCAAGGCATTTATTGCATTTGAAATAACGCGAGTCAAGCACAATTCCAACTGCTAATACAGTTTGAGGAGTTAAAATTGTATTTCAGCACTCTGGACAGCTCTGCTTACAGCTATGGGTTCATAATAGAGACGACTTTGGAGCTGTCCATGGTGCTGAAACGTACTAAAGGCAGTGGCTGGGTTGAGTTTTAGGAATTACTGTTTTGTGTCATTCTCGCGTAAATCAAACTCACCTTCAGCCTAAAAGAGGGCTATTTGATGCACCTTGGAGTATGTTTTTGTTTTCTACAACCAAGAAGTCTAAACTCCTGATTTGTCGTGGTATAAGAAATAACTCAGTATTGTCAAATCACTTGATGGACATTGATCACATTGCAATGCATGGTGTGCTGTTTACATAACAATTTGTTAAACATGTCTGGCCCTGGATTGTTTCACGGTGTAGGTTAAGCCTGGCTACCACCTTGTGTCTGTGTAGTATAAACCAGGTATTTGACCAGGTTGTGATGTCCTTGGAGGATGTCCAGCTAGTTGATGAAATCAGCGCTGAGTTTCTCCCTCCTGACCTGGCTTGTTACCCTAATCAGCCGCTCTTCTACTTCATCAGTCACTTGATTAGATAAGTTATTCATCATCCATGTCAGCGCCACGCAGCATCCAGACAGGCAGAGCTGTAGTAACAGCACAGGCACACTTTATTTGGCTTTGATTGCTATGATATACATTCAGAGCTGCTTACTTACCATGACTAGAATTAAATAGATCACTGCCAAAGCAGGTCGTACAAGGCTTACAAATTTTACTCATGCACACCATAAACAGTGAGCTGCCCTCTTTCACAAAGATATTTTTATCTGTTTATAACTCAGAAATGTCTCTCTCCTAACAAGAAACTATTTATTTCCATTTAATTGCCAGATGCATTCATTAATGTCAACCCTTTTGTCTCGTCCCCTTTTTTTCTCTCTCTCTCTCTCTTTCGTTGCACCAAGTATCTTATTAACATTACTGTCACATCATTAGAAAAAGAGAGCAAGCGAGAGAGAGAATGAGATGGATTGTAAGATAGTGACCTGAGACGCTGCCTTAAGAGGACTACGAGGCATTGAAAAAGATAGCTAATCACTGGGGTCCTCAATCCCACATCACTCTAAAGCTCCGTCCCAGTTCTAGACTACATACTAATTCTAACTAGGCGTTTTCCTAAGAATTGCTTTTGCCCTAGAAATGAGACTAACGTAACTGTAGTCGAAGATGATCGTCTTCAATCTCACGTTCATTCTGCACCTGAAGTCAGGACTTAGTAGAAGCACCTTTGACAGAGGTTACAGCTTTGAGTTTTCTTTATCCCATTCTTTTAGGCAGATTGTCTCTACCATCAAAGTCAGATTGGATGGGAAGCGTTTGAACTCCTATCTTAATGTCTCTCCTCAGATGTTCTATGTTGGGTTAAGTTGAGCCATTTAAATGTGATCAGAGGCTTCAGCTCGGTTACTTAGTTTGGCTTGATGGTTAACCATAGAAAAAGTCATGGTGGTTCCAAACTTCTTTCATTTCACAATTATTAGATTAGATTAGATTAGATTAGATTAGATTGGATTAGATTAGATTAGATTAGATTCCTTTCTTGTCATTGTATGCACAGAGCATACACGAGATTCAGATGCACTTGTGGAAATGGTATACACAATATACAAATGATAAAATAAACAGTAGAAATACAATAAAAATGCAAACCTATCCCCATATATATAAGTGCAGAGTGCAGTGAATATAGAAGTTATTGCACAAATTTGAATATTGACACATCAATTACTAAAGCTAGTGTGCTCTCAGAAACTATAAGATTTTTAAAAATTGTTTTAAGATGTTGTCCAGTGTCAGTGTCATGCCACAACTTTATCATAGAGGTCAACAGAAATATCCTTAAACTTCATTGCTTGCATTGTCCTGACTTGCTGCATTAAGTGGGACCTTGCACAGAAGTGAGCCTTTCTAAAAACGGAATTTCTTCAACACTGACTGCATTCAGTCGGTTCAGTTTGTTGTGGAATCCTGTCATGTTCTAGACCACATTTCAAAGATAACGGAAACACAGTGCACCTGACCACAACTTGGAGTGCCACAGCGAAGAAGAAGAAGAAGAACTTTATTTATAGAGCACGTTCAAAAATGAGAAGTTACAAACTGCTTTGATAGATAAAGCTAAAGCAGGTTACCCAGAAAGTAAAAAACACAACAGAAAGCAAACAGGAAGGCCAGACAAAGAGGAGCAACATGGAGTATTTCCATATAAATAAATGCAAATTATAGAATAAAAAATGAAATCACCAAAAAATAACTTGAAAAGCAACTGGACTTGCTTGAGTTCCTTGAAGACGTTTCACCTCTGTGGTTTGTGAATAGGTGTGAAACCACATTCAGATTCCACGAAAGACCCTAATGAACCCCATTATGGCAGATGGGGTACTAACAACTCGCATAACAAGGGGGGGGGAAGCAACAAACCCCCAATTGACACCGAAACTCAGGTGGTAATGGCCCCTTAAGGATAAACAAAGGAGGAGACCGCGTAGAAGGAGGGGCTACTGAGCCGGTGTCCATGCTAGGCTACGGAAGGACCCGCACAGACCAGCATTATCCAGCATCTTCCTCACGAACGCCAGGTCACTGAACACGTTTGATGAACTATCAGTCACCATCGAGGCCCAGAAAACTGTGCGGGATAGCTGCATCGTCGTCGTGACAGAGACCTGGCTTCACCCGGGGGTAGCAGACAAAGCTATCGTGCTAGCAGGCCGCACAGCACACCGAGCCGACCGGATGAGTAACTCGGGGGAAAAGCAGAGGAGGAGTAGGACTGGTCATCTACTCCAACAACAGGTGGTGTACAAATGCTACAGTGACTGAAACACACTGTTCCCCTGATTTGGAGTTTATTACACTTAGATACCGTCCGTTTATTTGGCCCGAGAACACACGGTTGTCATGGTAATGGCTGTGTACATACCACTGAGTGCTAATGTAGCATTAAAGACCTTGTTAGCAGCTGTTAGCAAACAGTAGTCTGCCCACCTGGATGTGCTCCCTAATTTTTACGAGCATTCTACATGTGCAATGAGAGGTCATAACGTACTGGATAAGGCTTACAGCAACATCAAGGGCGCTTTTAAAGTCTCCCGCCTCCCCCACCTCGGACAATCGGACCATTTGTCCCTGTTTCTCACCCCAGCATACAGACCTCTCATACAAAGAACTTTACCTGAGGTGAGACCCGTATGGATTTGGTCTGAAAATGCCATCCCACAGCTCTGGGACTGCTTCCACACAACCAACTGGGACATCTTTGCACAGGAGGACCTCACAGACTATACATCCTCTGTTCTGCTTTATAATAAAATGTGCATGGATAATGTCACAGTGGAGAAGAGGGTCAGACATTATCCAAATAAAAAACAGTGGATGAACAGTGAGGTCAAACAGCTGCTGAGGGATCGGTACTCTGTTTTCAGGTCTGGGAACATGGAACTGTACAGCTCAGCCAGATCCAACCTGAAAAGAGGCATTAAGCGGGCTAAGGCAGCATACGTCAAGAACATCGAAGGGCGCTTCACAGAGGGGAACCCCCGACGTGTTTGGCAGGACATCTGTGACCTCGTTAACATGAACGCTTCTAATGCTGCCACCACCAACACCAGCACAAGCCTAGTGGAGGAGCTAAATCAGTTCTTTGCTGGGTTTGAAGTAAGCAAGGAAGAGGATGCCCCCATGCTGCCGCCCGCTGACAACCTGGCCCTCACTGTGAGCCCGGAGGAGGTCAGGAGGGTGCTCCGAGGTATGAGCCCATCGAAGGCTGCTGGTCCTGATGGTGTCCAGGGAAGGGTACTGAGGGGCTGTGCAGACCAGCTAACAGAGGTTTTTACTACCATTTTTAACCTCTCATTGGCTGCCTGCACAGTCCCTAGCTGCCTAAAATCTGCCACTATTGTGCCCATCCCCAAGAGACAATCGGTCAGCAGTCTGAATGATTATAGAGCTGTGGCTCTCACTTCAACTGTGATGAAGTGCTTTGAGAGACTGGTG